GCAACTGTCTCACAATCTTCAGGTGGTATGTATATATATTTCGTCCTATATTTGGGACTCATCAGCAGTGCGCATCCACTACCGAGAATTGAAACCCGGAAAGTTACATTGACAGGCAAACGACATACGAACTGTACTAACAGGCCTCGGTGACGAAGAGGTAGCGAACTAGACTCGATATTGCGCCGCTCGTTCACATATTCCGTTATACATATACAATAGCTGTCCAAACAGATTAAGAGATTTCGGTTATCTGTTTGAATTGGTATTGCTTTTATGTCCATCGTCTTTTTCATGTTGAATTGTATATGGTCTATGTTAATTATGTTTTATGAATATGTCCTGAAGATGGTCTATTAGACCGAAACGTCCGACGTTGACATTAAACATTAAAATAGCATAATCGCATATTAGGATTTTGTTTGTTTTTTCAGTATATTTTTCTTCATATATATATATATATATATATATATATATATATATATATATATATATATATATATATATAAACAAACTGTAATGCAATAAGTATAACAGCAAGGTGAGTTTTGGTCGAATGAATTGCTCACTTTTTTTCTCTGTAATCGTGGCATATCAGCAATAAAACCATTCTCAAATTTACTGGATTCATGTTTTTTTAATGTATTAAAAACGTCTCAAGTAAGCTTTGGATATACATTAAAGTAGTCTCAAATAGAATCCCCGTTGGAAACCGATTCACAACATGGTACCTTCTTTCTTTCTTTCTTTCTTTCTTTCTTTCTTCTTTCTTTTATGTTTTTGTCTGTCTTTCTATCTCTTTGTCTATCTGTAAACCTACCTATGTGCGCAAGCGCGTGCATGTTCAAGTAAATGAAACATTTTCCGATTTCGAAATTTCTACATATTTCTGCGCTGGATAATAAGCCAGTTCTCGCAGGATTAAAACAAAAAACAAAAAAAAAGTTAAAGATCAAATAAAAAATCCCTAACAGAGAACAGATTTCATTTTGAGGCATATTATTTAACCCCAATCTCCTTAAAAAAAAAAATCAATTCGTCATTCTCACGCTTACCTACACCCTCCAAATGTCAAACAAATTCGACAATATGGAATATAAAATGAATGGAACTGAAAAGAAATGGCAATTACTGAAACGTGAAACTATCAAAGATCTGTGAATGGAACTGAGGAAAATTCCTTTCTAGTTTTGGTGTCTGATTGTTCGACAAATCAAAATGGCGACTTGTCAGTCGAAGCCTGAGGAGAAAGAATCGTTGTTCACACAGCGCGTCACGCTTACTTGTACAGGGTCTGTGAAAGTGTCTGCTTAACGCAGCGTGTACGGCGCAGTGTCGGAGAGGCGTGCTGCACAAGAGGAACTTTATCACGTTTTACAGACATTTTTGTTTTCGCGGACTAAATTGAAAAGCAGTGACTTCCATTTGAAGTAGCATCGTTTACTGTTTGAAACAGAACACTTATTTTTCAAAGCCCGCAACGTCTTTCACGTTTGTAGAAATATTTTATTAAGTATTTCGGCTGATTTGTATGAAGTGTATATTTTTGTATCGACTCATTGAAAAATTGTCGACATATTAAAAAAATTCTAGACGAAAAAAAATCAATCTCTAAAATTATCTGATTTTTTTGTTTGCTCATTGGTCATCATTCTATAAAATGGCCGTTCCTCGGTTAAAACCAGATAAACAAGACTGGAAAAGAAATAAATATATAAATATAACGGAGTGTGTTTCATGTATTTGACGCTATAATAATTTATTTAATCTTTTTTATTTGGTCACAAATCGATCACTTCATCTTGATTTTGAACGCAGAACAGATATTGATGACGTAATGACGTTTTACGAGAAAAGATATAAAAACAAATTTAAGTTAAATGCATTTAAATATTATTTATCAAAAATATAATTATCCTCATTTCAAACGACTGAAACCTAACTGGAAAGCAGATTTTCGATTTTACGTTTAACAAAATCTATTCCCCCCCACCCGGCAGAAATTTAAAAAATATCTTTCAGGTTTGTTTCAGAATCTTCTGCCATTTATGAAATGTTCTAGAGATCAAAACAAATGAAAAATCTGGAGGGGCTAAATATCAGTCAGTCAGTTACATAACATGCGTGATACACGCTTAGGCGATCATGTATCTTTCTCGCAGTAGGTTGCCATTTCTTTCTGCGGTAGACCAGTTGCCATCCAGGGCTATAGAACCAGGTCAGTCTTGCTATTTAGTCACAGTTGTGGGGAGAAGACATTTCATATTTTTCCCAAGTGAATGTAATGGATTCGACTGGAATTCGAACTCGGCTCTCCGATTCCTCAATCCAAGCCGCTATCCATTACTCCACCGTGCCATGTCCTGGGCTAAATATAGTGAGTAAAAAGACCAAGGAAGAACCTGCCATCCTAAAGATATTTTTGTTTGTTTTGTATTGTCATGCTACAGAATAACACCTTTTCTGTTTCTCGAATCAGGACACTTTACACGTCACGTTTTGTTTACTCGATCTGGCATTAACTGTCAGCACTACAATGTTCCATAAGCTCGTAATGGACGACACCTTTCATATTCCACTAGACAATGGAGTAATGGTTTTGGCTTTGGTATTCGTTTCTTATTTTGTGATAACCACTGTCTTTTTCGTTGACATGTAAACCCATTTTTCATCAGTTAAGAAAGCGATGAAAAAAGATTAACAGAAAAGTGTGCAGATAGAACGTTGTGTTCGATTTCAAAGCGAAAGTTCATGAGGAATCCAAATTCCATCTTTGCAATTTTTTTTTCCAATCAAATTCTGAAAACACTCTAAGCGACGCACTGTTGGATAGAAGAGAAGAAGAAAAACAAAAAACAACGAAAAACAATTGCAGATGCAATCTATTACTATTCAACCATAATTCTGCCTAAGTTGGTTGGCTATATAATGTGAAATACGCAATTATTACTTTCTAAAGACGTTAATATAAAAATATATTAGAAAATCTTAATTCCCTTGGTATATGCCTAAAATAAAGAAGCACATATAATGGACCGGACTGTCTCCATTACCAATGGCCTGCGAGGTATGTTTAATAATAATTATTTTACAAACACGTTATTGATTAGAATAGGTCAGGTTTGCAATAGTTGGCAAAGCAATAGGGATCGAATTTATTACAGTAGCAAATGTTTTGAGAGATAGTCTGACTCGTTTTTTACAGTTTATCAACCCATTATAGGCTAATTTAAAGCCTGAAAATATTTTTAGATTGTAAGAGTTTTTTTCTTAGATAGTAATGGTTGAATGATACAACTCTTAGTAATTAACCTATAGCGGGAGGAGAAGAGGTGGATTCATGCCTTTCTCATGGATATTTGTAAGATAATATAACAAACCCAACGGGAATTAGAACTCGGCTCTCCGATTAACAATTCTAAGCCATTATCCATTACCCAACCGCACATTGAAGCTTACAGCGCATGATATACCCCATACCCCATCAGTCACCGAATTAGGTACTGACCAGACTTGACGTTGCTTAACTTAGGAAGAGGTATTTCAACGTGATGTGCTCGTAAGCTTTATTAACGCTAGGAATCTAAAAAGAAATTTTCAGTCTTGACACGAGTGAACATCATTATTGAACAATAGGAAATGCCTCGGGGTATCGATTGCTTTTTAAAAATCATTTCACCTTAAGCAAGGCGATAATGCTACAAGGAACCAAGATATTAGGGGAGGTGAAACAGAATGAGAAGCACAATAAGGAAAAAGAACAATAAAAGAACTAATTTAAGGAAGACAGAAGATTGCAAAAGATTGCAATTGTCGTTAAATTTAAATCTTTGAAGATTGTAGGCGGCAGGAAAGGAAGAAACCGGAAAATAGTTCCACGGGCGAAAAGTGCGAGAAAAGAAACTATTTGAATAGAACTTACGGTTAGTATTTCAACAGAAAAAACGATGAGACAGTTATTAATTTAGCAGTACGCTTAAATTCATGCGATCGAAGTGCCAAGGAGGAGAGCCGATTAAGAGCAATTGCCATGAATATATTTATAGAAAAAACAGAAGGAAGCCACGTCATGACGGTGGGAAAGTGATTGAAATTGAGATGCCATGTCAGGACCGATTACATTGTAGACTCTTTGAATTTTATTGAGAATCTCGAAATATGTCACGGAACACCAGATCAGATGTGGTAGCAATATTCAATGCACTGACGAATGGTAGATTTATAACCTAGAAAGATAAATCTAGAAGGTTGTTGAAAAATAAGTCTTCATCTTGTATTTAATTTGAGCTGAAATGGTGGAGTTTAAAATTGTCGAAGATTTTCCAAGAAGACAGTAATTGCTGTAGCTTCAAATTGAAATAAAAATGACAAACGCGCCAAGTGAATTCCCTTTGGACAAACAAGCAAGCATAGAACTGGCATGAAAATCAAATGAATATATTTTTTCTTACAAATCAGTTTCAGGGTCAAAAAAGAAGTGTGACACGGGAAAGAAAGAGGAAAATGTGGATGAAACAAAGAAATAAAAAAAGATTGATAAAATTTCGAACCAATGTTTAGAAAAATGAATAAAAATGAGTTTTCTTAATCCATCCATCGAACAAAATAATGGAGAAAGCGAAAAAAAAGTAGCATTAGCGAAAAGCAAGCAAAAGAATCCATTAAGAGACTTGCAAGTTTTTCTTTCAAGCAAAGCTAAGATAAAATGCAGACAAAAAACTTAAGACAACGCAACAAACATATTTCGGACATACCAATATAAAAACAACAGTCAACAGTTTATCTTGCAAACCGTAGATTGTAAGTTCGATTCTCACTAGAGTATCGCTATGACCGAATAATCAGAGCTTCTTAAATTTCATTAAACACTCACTGCAGAGAGATTCGTAAACAAATCTCGATACCAATTCGCTAGTCCGATTCTTCCGAAAAATAAGGAACATAAAATAGTTGCATGATTTCCAAAAGTGCCAATGGTCGGTGTTCGATTCTAGTTGGCTTACGACCATCGCACGCTAAAACCGGTTCTCGTACGATCACCGAAGTTAAGCAATGTCGGTATCTAGATGAGTGACCACATGGGAATACCAGGTGCTGTAATCTTGGATTTGCGGATGGTGCAATGGATAAGGAATTGGAAATCAGAGAGACGAGTTCAAATTCCCCCAAGTTCATTATTTATGCGTAAATACCCTTGGGAAAGGTATGAATACACCTCTTCTTCCTCCACCTATGGGTTAATTAGTAGGGCTAATATCAGTAAATTATTATGATATCCAAAAAATTGTTATATTTTTAAATATCCCGTAAAAGTTTGATGCGATGTGAAAGACAAACCAATTAAGTAATCAATCAAACGATTTTATTTAAATGCTGATTTTTAAAACATTTTTCTACTTGTAAGTTTGGGAAAATGCAATACTAAGAAAATTTACTGCTGCAATGACGACCGACATTCTAGTACAGCTGTTATCACGGTTTTTTCGAGGTACATTTCTGGTAACAAATATGCGCTAGTATTACATACAGTCAAGATGTGCGCTCAGGTTATGCGATAGGAAATTAGAAATAGGCCAACTGAACAAGAAAATCTACAAATAAAAGTAGCAAGTGTTTTGCTGGATATCTAATACCAAATGAAAATCACCCGGTAAAGTGTTGCGCGTTCCACAATCTGATGGAATTTCATGGGAGTTTCTATTGAAAGGTCTATTTGAGCGCTTCATTAGACACAAATCTGAATGGAGTTGAACTATTTTTGCATGATATCCTGCATCTCTTTTTCTTTCTTTTTTTGCGTCTATTTCCTAAACTCTTTCTTTCTATCTTTCTCATACTATTTTGCTATTGCTCTTTCTGACCTCTTTTTCATTCTCTTCCTTACTAAAATAAAATTATGCACATAGACACACACTTACATACACAGCGAAAGAGGGAGAGAGTGTGAGTGAGCGGCAAAGAGATAGGAAAGTATATAGATGTACACACACACATACACATACACACATACATATATATATATATGTAGACTGAGATGGAAAAAATTGATTAATAGATATAAATATATAAATATTTGATTAATAGATAAAATTTGATTAACAAATATGAATGAATATTGTGACAGATAAGGAAAGCAAAAGTATAAGTGACGAGTTTGAGTAGACGAGATAGACAAATAGGAATAGAATAATATAGGCATATACAGACTAAAATAAAAAATAGATCTGAGCAAAATGATGGAGATGTGATCAAATTGAGATAGATATGAAAGGAAGGATGTAGATATTAACGAACTTATATATATATACGTAGATATTAACGAACTTATATATATATATATATATATATATATATATATATATATATATATATATATATATATATGCATGGAGGGATAGAGATAGATACATAGTTATGAACAGAATTGTATAGATATTTACAGACTGAGATAGATAGATAGATAAATAGATAGATAGATAGATAGATAGATAGATAGATAGATAGATAGATAAGAGAAAAAGATGTAGACATGTACATTCTGCGATAGATAGATATGAACAGAACGTTGTAGATATGAACGAACTGACACACACACACACACACACACACACACACACACACACACACACATATATATATATATATAAATAAATAAAAAGAAAGAACAGTAAGATATATAATCCAGTGTTCTTATAGATATTTTTATTTTTACAAAATAGTGCTCAATGTAAATTTACAGAGCATTAGATGTTAAATTTCATTGAAAAATACATCCCTACCTACTACCAAAACGTAGCAATAACTGATACATTAAAATATAGACATATTGAACACCCAGACACCCCTCGTCTAGTAAAATGAATTCATCTGTAACCTTGTAAACATGAATTATGATTTTAGCTGTGTCTTTAAAACCCTGTAATTTTAAAAGTTACTCCAAAATTCGCTTGAGGGGGAAATGGAACTAATGTCTTTAATTTAATTACAAAATTAAATTCGGGGCTTTTAGCTTCCATTTTTGAAACATGGTTAGAACTGTGTAGCGGAAAAAACCATATTTTAAATCAATTAATTTATAATATATATATATATATATATATATATATATATATATATATATATATATATATATAGATAGATAGATAGATAGATATGGACAGAATGATGTAGACATCTACAGACTGAGATATAGAGAAAGATATAAACAGAATGATGTAGATATGAACGAACTGTGATATATATATATATATATATATATATATATATATATATATATATATATATATATATATATATATATTATATATATATATAAAAATATAAATATATATATATATATATATATAAGATTTATATAAAATAAAGAGAAAGAACAGTAAGATTTATAATCCGGTGTTCTTATTAATAACTTTTTTTTTTTTAAATAAACAGTGCTCTTTACAATTCTGCAGAGCATAAATATTATAAATTTACTAATTTAAAAATATGGATTCATCGCTACGCAGGAATTACCATGCTTCAAAAGCAGAAACTAAAAACTTCAAATTTAAACATAGAATTAAATCCCTAGCATTGTTTCAATTTTGGAATAACTTATTTTGAAATTTACTGAGTTTTATAAGTACATACTTAATACTACTTTCTAAGGATATGTGGAAATTCACTTATTTTGACCATGGGTGGTAGGGTATTCATTTTCACTGACAACTAATGTATCAAAATATGAGCTACTTTCGAAAAGAGGTTAAGTTAAGGTAAGGGTAGGGGTGCCTGTTCAAAAAATGAAGTCATCCACTTTTCGCATGTCGTCTGTTTTTTTTTTTCAATGACAAAATGTTTTTCGGCACTTGTTTTGCCGTTAAATTTGCAATTGCATACATAAAGATTTTTTTCCAAAAGGGTTGTTTGAATATGACTACGTAGTATTAAAATACAATTTTAAAATATTAGTCCTAATTCTAATTACTAATAGACTATACTTTTAAAACAAATAAATTACTTTATTATTTAAAAATTATTATTAAAATATCAAATATAAATATGTATGTTTCATTTTTCAGCTTTTTTTAAAACATTATTTAAGGAAAATTTTTGACAATGTCGGCAAAGAATAGCTACTTCATTTCATAATTACATAATCTAGCTTTTCTTATTAATTTCCATTTGACAGTAGGTGTTTTATTGGTTTCTTTTAAGTGCCAGAAATATTTAGATAGGGATGCCTGATTTCAGTATTTATTTATTCTAAAAGAACTTTGAAGTTGGTTGAAACGCTTTCTGAATTCATGTCTTGTGAATCTCATGTAGATGAAATATTGCAGTGGTACACTAATGATTCAGTGCTATATTTATTATTTAGAAGACAGTTTTGAGGATTTCTGCAGTTACATAATTTTTGTTTATCTTCATCTCTTTTTATTATACTGTCTAAATTTCTTTGATTTTAGTCTAAGTGTTTACTCAAGATATTAACATTATGTTTCTTAATAATCATTTCTAAGTTTTCAGTACAACTGTAACTTAATTTTAGGGTATTTTTTATTAAAAATTATACTAAGTTTACTGTCTTTTGGAAAATGTTTAACGATTAATGCAAGGAATTTTTGTCCTAATTTGTTTTTTACCATTTGGTTGTATGGGGGTGTATACTAAATGATGTTTTTACTTCTGTTTTTTCTATGGTTTCCACAGAGAATTTAAATGCCTGGACTTAAAAATTACTGTAAGTACTAAATTGAAAAAGGTGAACTTCCTTGATATAACATTAGATTTAATGAATAATGCATACATACCTTATAAAAAAACAATATTAATCCTTTGGATATACACCCTAAATCTAATCATTCTTCATCTATAATTAAGCATATACATTTATCTATCAAAAAGAGAATAAGTACAAATTCAGCAAATGAGAAAATTTTCTATGAATATAGTAATTTCTATAATAAAGTTCTAAAAGATAGCGGCGACAAAAGCCCAAAACTAAATTATATAAAAAATGAAAGTCTTCCTAAATTTTTAAAAATGTAAAAAAAAGTGATGTTTCATAAGTAATATTTTAAAATAAAATCGTTTATAACCATCTTTGTTTACCAGCTGATGATCTGCTTATGTCGTGGCATCGAAAGAAATAAGCATCTTTGTAGTGATTTGTTTGTTCTTATGAAATTTGAGTGATAGATACCTATAAATTAACAGTTATATAGTGACAGAAAATAAAATTGTATCACACGATTATTAAGCCGTTGTTGTTTTTGCTAATTCGTACTAGGGAATTTTCTATGAAATTTTCAGTCTTCGACCATCTTTAGTCGTTCTGACTTTTATAGCATTACACTGTCTGTAACTGATCTTTAAACAGTGAAACATGCTGCAATGAGGCTCACTGTGCTGAAAGGGATCAGCGCAAATTGATGTCATGCCACGCCTACACATACTCTTCTTTTCGTTCAAGCAGAGCCGGTTGAATTGTGAAGAGACTGGGTGGTTATGTCGGAGAATTGTGGTGCATATTAGACGTGACACAGTGGTGGTGCTTCGGTGTTAACAATACGGGTCAAATGAACATCTTAGCTTCACAGACGGTTAGGTAATACGGACAGTCACTAAGATCAACGCATTGTCAAGACGGACTGAACCACGGCACAGATCAGAATATATATGAACGTAGGAAGGATTGGGAATCGCTTACCTACTTTATATTTATAGGTGAACTAGCAGCATGGCCCGGCGCTGCCCGTGCTTGATTCAAAAATCGTACGGCTAATACAGCAATCGCTATCACTTGACTTAAAATATTTTTGCCCTTCCTTGCCTTTAAAGGAGTGCCCTTTGCCGTGCTGATGTTGCTATATGCCTTACTTCTTGCCTATCTCACACTGCGATTTTTTTCTAGACTCTATACTAAACATTAACTCTGTTACGAAAAAAGAACTAAACAAAATAAACACAAAACGATCAGCCTTAAAAAAGGACTCTTAACTGAAAAAACCGAATGAAAAATGAATGTTAACAAATACTTTTTCACACCCAATCCATTTCTGCGGAATCAGAATCAACGTTGAGTTTAAGCAAGCGAATGAGCCAATTGGAGTAAAGTGC